GCTCCTGGTAAATGACCATTTCTAGAATACTGGATCTTAGGTCCCCGTACCCGTCTTGTTCTCTCCATGTTAAAAACTAATTTCATAACCTGTCTGGCTCAGAAGGCCTGAAATCCTAAAATGAAAAGCTTACCTGTGTGCCTGGTATTCTGGACTCAGTTGATTGCCTGCTGCCAGCCCTTAAGTCATCTGCTGGAGCTTGGCACTCTACCACTGGCAGGACATCCCAAATCCTGATTGCCCACTCAGATAAAACTGGCCTAGCACCTGTCACTGCATCTCAGGGACTCCATTTCTTCCAGGCCATCCACAGATGCTGCCTCCTGGCACCTGCACAGCCCTGCCTGCAGGGGTGTGGTCCTCAAGTGGGCAGTTTTCCCATTGTTTTGATCAGAATTCTCATAAAATCTTATTCTGCATGTCTCAGGATAATTTAGGATCCATTCTCATGTCTCAGTCCTAGATCTTATGCTGATAACTAGGTTTCAATAAAGAGTTCATACTCTTTAGTGATTTTATATTGTTATCTTCTTGCATAGGTTAGAAAATGGAATACAGGGAGAACAACATTAACTTCTTTTACCTCTATTGTGGTATTAAATACATTCCTATGTTTTAGGAACTATGAAGATCTTGAAAACTTGGTGGTTCACGGAAGAAAATTCCACAAAATCCATAAACATATTTAAACTTTACGGTCTAGGTATACTTAAATATGTTTATGGATTTTGTGGAATTTTCTTCCGTGAACCACCAAGCTTTCAAGATCTTCATGGATCACTACTGTTAGCTTTGTCAATTATGGCTCACAAGTGACCTTCATAAATCAAAAATGGGGAGAGATTCATCTTTCCAGCATAAAATTAAATAAGTATCTAAACCAAAAGCTTGAAAAGCAAGCAGGACTGTGGTTATAATTCACACTCCTTCCTCCACCTCTCCAATGGAATTAGGAAGAAAACAGACACACAGAGGCTAAGAAGAGGAAACCAACCTTTGTTTAACCTGTTCACTCTGTCTGCTGTATGTTTCTTCTACACAATTTTTTAAAATTCTTATAAGAATTCTTTATACCACACAATGCTGAGTCCCACAGGATTAGCCAGATTGGGAGAAGATAAATAAACTGTTCAAGATTATACAACTACCACCTGGGGCTACCTGCATTGGTACATGAGTTGAGCTTATATAAAAAGTCAAGCTTTTCATTTTAAATAGTTCCAGAGTACTGAGATTACTTAACTTTAACAACTTCTGGCTGGTAAAGCTTTTGCTCTTACCTCATTTCCCAAGATATATAATAGAGTAACTATTAGGTTTGTTACAAGCAAGAATATAAGTTCCTCCTACAAGGCATTTCACAACAAATGGTATGAGAAAGGTTATCATAGTATGCCAATTTGCAAAAAGATTGTGAGATCCCATAGAAAGACAAATTAATAACTAAAAAATTTAAACAAAATTGACGTCTGTTTGTAAGAAATTTTAGTGACTATAATTTTGTATTCCGGGACCAAAAATGTCAGTATCGTTGATGTAATGGAGAAGTATACGAGCTTTACAACTGAGTCTTACCCTTCCACTCTTCTTCAGTAGGAAAAAAGAAAATGAAAGTGTTAGTCATTCAGTCATGTCTGACTCTTTGTGACCCCACGGACTATAGCCCATCAGACTCCTCTGTCCATGGAATTCTCCAGGCAGGAATACTAGAGTGGTCTGCCATTTCCTTCCCTTGGGGTCTTCCCAAACCAGGGGTCAACACAGCTCTCCCGCACTGCAGGCAGACTCTTTATCCATTGAGCCATTTATCCTACTGAAGCACCTTCAGTAGGGAAGAAACCATTAAAGATTTAGAATTATAAAGCTTTGTTTTCGCTGGGCTTCCCTGCTGGCTCAGACAGTAAAGAATCTTCCTGCAAAGCAGGAGACCCTGGTTTGATCCCTGGGCCAGGAAGATCTAGAGGAAGAAATGACTACCCACTCCAGTATTCTTGCCTGGAGAATCCCACGAACAGAAGAGCCAAAAGTTATCACAAGAAATGACATGGTAAAAGTGACTGGATATATAGCCTATGCCAGCTGGTATCTTCTCTCTAGGTTTAGCAATTTTCAGCCAACTTAGGCTGATGAGGTAAAAGGAGATTTGTGAATAAAATATGCACAACAGGATGGAAGTAGCTGAGATTCTCCTCCAGGAGCTGGAGTGGCTATCATCACTCAGAATGCCACAGTCCTCAAGAGAAGAAGCCCTCTTCTTTCTTGTCAACAAAGGCCTCCATGTCAAACGAGTTTGGACACTAAGGAACATTCTATCACTACTTCATCACTAGGATATCTAGGAAGTTGTTTCACGGTCTATCACTTTTTCATGACTTTGTAAAATTCAAGAAGAAGAAAGTTAAATCCAATCATCATTAGACAACAACTAACAGAAGTTTATCAGTTTTCTTCCCCGACACAAATCCTTTCATAAACAGCAAGGGATATGAGGGACAGATTTTTTTTTTTAAGGATTTTCTATTCAGGGCTACCAAATAAGGACATTTTGAATTGCTGGAACTAACTGAAAGTTCGAAGGAAAGATTTAGTTTCTATTTTGTACTTTTTGAAAACAAGTTTGAAAAAGCAGAGTAATATACACTAAGGAGAAATCAAAATCAAAATACTATCATGTAGGTATATATAATTCCTCAGGGAGAGACTGATCAGCTGAAAATGAAGCAGTATTTGGTAAGGATGATACAACAAGAGAAAAAAGCCCTCCTGCATGAAAGATTCAACGTTCTTTAACAATTTACTCATGGAAATACATTTCTTATGAGTTTATATTAATTTATAACTGATTTCAAATATTTCAGTAAGTTACCTCTGAAGCTCTTTTTCACAACAGTTAATTCTGTTCAAGCTCACTGTCAGAAATAAGTGAAAGATTTTAAAGATATTTTTACTTTTTAAGCATAGGAAAAATGTCTTTTACATTAAGATAATCAAAACCATTGCTCTTGGGGTATTGGGAGGTGGACTTACCAAATCCAAAAAGAAAACTCTCCTAGAACTAATAGAATTAGATTACCTTTGAATTTTCACCCCAACTTTGAATAGTCACTAATTCCTTTCTTTGCTCTTTTGGTGTCTGCAAAGGGGTTCACTAAAGCCTGAATTGATATAATTATTGGCTCAGATTGTTAGAGATCTAGGACAGATGGCTATGGGTTTCTAAAGTCCCAGTTGCTTGTGGTAGTTTTCCTAGTTTTGCTATAGGGTTTGAGGATCAGCAATTTGAAAAGGCTACAAACTTGTAAAACAGTATTATTCATGGGGGCAGAATGTTCATCAGCGTGACCCAGTACTAAATACATTCATTATAGGCATTTCTATTCTGCACAATTTGCCACACAGCACTGGTTTCTCGAGGGGGGAGAAAAAGACAATGGCTTATAAAATGCTTTTGAATGCCTAAAAAGAAGGAGAATTCATGCTGAGACTCCTCTGCTTTCTTTTTTGGAAAGAATCTTCTTAGTTACTTTAGCTGAGCTCTGCTGAGAGTAAGCAAAGTGGAAAAATCAGAAAATTACTTTTTTTATATGTTTCTGGGGGGCAAAATAGAGAGTGGGAGAAAATAAATGGGAAAAAGTGACAGTGAGATTATGTGAAACAGCAAATATGCAAGTGGATGAAGACAGCTGAGGAATAATGCAAGAGGTATGAAAAAAAAAAAGCATTAAGAATAGAGCCATGATGATAAACTTAAAAGGAATTGCAGAGCAGAAAGAACATCATAAATAATCATATTTTCAAATAAGAATACCATATCAGTTTCTGTGACCTGGATAGGGCACAAACCTCCCATGATATTTCCTTAGCATTTTGATGCACACAAAATACAATTTTCAGCTCAGGCACTTTATTTTTCAATGTAAACAAGCTTTGGGTTTTTTAAATACAAATCCTAAAAGTGTTTTCATAAATAATACATATATTATAAAAATTTGACTTGTAAATTTCTAAGTTCATGTCCCCCCAGTATTCATTGTGAAGATTCACCATGTATAGATAGTCTAGTACCTTTTCGGTAGAAATTGACATGCTAAAGCATGAAATGTCTTTTACCAAAGGTAAATAGGATTTTTTGAAGTACAGGGCAAAGAACTATCATAGCCAATTTTGGCCAAACTCCAGGCAAGAAGTGTTATAAGGTAGAACTATATTGTTAATTAGTTTCAAATCTTAAGGTGTTCCTTTAAATCTTGCTAATTAAGAGAAATCAAGAGTGGAAAACAGCCCTTTTCTTATCTTCAAAGAATAAAGATGAAAGAAAAACAGAAAATGAAACCTCTTTACTAGTTCTGTTCTTTAAAACAGAGAACAAGAAAATCTGCGTGTGCTCACAGGAGAAAGACCCAAGTATTTACAGAGGGGGAGGGGAAGGAGGCGGGCAAACAGGCATAATTAGAAGCAAGTTTTCAAATTTTATTAAATTCCTCCACCAACAAAATGCACTTAGAGGTATTTTAAGTTAAACCAGTACTTAAGGACTATGAAAAGCAAGATGATTACATGTTTGCGGAAGAAGAAAGGGCAATTAAGAAAACCAGGCCAATCTAAAATACCAAATAAATAAAGGCGACCAGAAGTTGATTTAAAGTTTTTCTTCTGTAATTTGTCTCTCCTTTGTCGTGGCACGCTCAGAGAAAGTGAATGCAGTCGATGCAGAGGAGGAAGGGAGAGGGGTGGAGGAAGGCGGGAGCAGTCGCGGAGCCTCGCGCCTCCCGCTCCCCCTGCCCCCACCGGCCCTGCTCTCCCAGGCTCGCTCTCTCCCGCGCCCCCAGCCCCCGGCCCCCACCCCTCCCCGTCTCTCTCCTCCTTCCACCCTCCTCTCCAGTCTGCCCAGCCCTCGCTTTGGGGACTCCATCAGCGTTTGATTTGGAAGGACGCTGATTGGCTGGAAGCGATTCAACACACGCCGGGCTAGAGAGCTTTGTCTGAGTTGAAGTGAAGTTGTACAGATTTTAGACTGGAGTCAGCAATCACGGGCGTGTAGTCTGCAGCCGAGCCGAGAAAGGAAGAGAGAATCGCTCGGGAAAGATCCATTGCGGACTCCGCCGGCACCCTGCAATAGATGGATTCCGACTACACAAGGGGGAAAACGCGGAGGTGACACTCTCTTTGCCTGCCGAGAGGACGAACGGCCAAACAAATGCAAGGACTGGACTCCATGCCGGTAATATCTGGACGGCGTGACACGGTGTGTATAAAGCAAAAGTTTGCGAGCTGTTAATTGCTGTGCTGTGTTTTTAAGAGACGCTTTCAAGTTTCCGGTACCAAATGTAGCTTAGCTTTAAGTTGCCAAAGGAAGTTGAGGGAATTGGCTTGCTGTTTTAACTTGCTCTGTGAGCGGAATCTCATAAACTGACCTATGTACCAAATGAATGCTAAAATGCACTTTACGTTTGTTTTTGCACTCCTGGTGATGTCTTTCAACTCGGATGTGCTGGGCAAGAATTTGAAATACAGGATTTATGAGGAGCAGAGGGTTGGATCGGTAATTGCAAGACTATCAGAGGATGTGGCTGATGTGTTAGTTAAGCTACCTAATCCTTCTACTGTTCGCTTCCGAGCCATGCAACGAGGAAATTCTCCTCTGCTCGTGGTCAACGAGGATAACGGGGAAATCAGCATAGGAGCAAAAATTGACCGCGAACAACTATGCCAGAAAAACTTGAACTGTTCCATAGAGTTTGATGTGATCACTCTGCCCACTGAGCATCTGCAGCTTTTCCATATTGAAGTTGAAGTGCTGGATATTAATGACAATTCGCCTCAGTTTTCAAGATCTCTCATACCTATTGAGATTTCAGAAAGCGCGGCAGTGGGAACCCGTATCCCTCTGGACAGTGCATTTGATCCAGATGTTGGGGAAAATTCCCTCCACACGTACTCTCTCTCTGCCAATGATTTTTTTAATATCGAGGTTCGAACCAGGACTGATGGAGCAAAGTATGCAGAACTCATAGTGGTCAGAGAGCTGGATCGGGAGCTGAAATCAAGCTATGAGCTTCAGCTCACCGCCTCAGACATGGGGGTGCCTCAGAGGTCTGGCTCATCCATATTAAAAATCAGCATTTCAGACTCTAATGACAACAGCCCTGCTTTTGAGCAGCAGTCTTACATAATACAACTCTTAGAAAACTCCCCCGTTGGCACTTTGCTCCTCGATCTGAATGCCACTGATCCAGATGAGGGCGCTAATGGGAAAATTGTCTATTCCTTCAGCAGTCATGTGTCTCCCAAAATTATAGAGACTTTTAAGATTGATTCAGAAAGAGGACATTTGACTCTCTTCAAGCAGGTGGATTATGAAATGACCAAATCCTATGAGATTGATGTTCAGGCTCAAGATTTGGGTCCAAATTCAATCCCAGCTCATTGCAAAATTATAATTAAGGTTGTGGATGTTAATGACAATAAACCTGAAATTAGCATAAACCTCATGTCCCCTGGAAAAGAAGAAATTTCTTATATTTTTGAAGGTGATCCTATTGACACATTTGTTGCCTTGGTCAGGGTTCAGGACAAGGATTCTGGGCTGAATGGAGAAATAGTTTGTAAGCTTCATGGACATGGTCACTTTAAACTTCAGAAGACTTATGAAAACAATTATTTAATCTTGACGAATGCCACGCTGGATAGAGAAAAGAGATCTGAATACAGTTTGACTGTAATCGCTGAGGACAAGGGGACACCCAGTCTCTCTACAGTAAAACATTTTACTGTTCAAATCAATGATATAAATGACAATCCACCCCACTTCCAGAGAAGTCGATATGAATTTGCAATCTCAGAGAATAACTCACCCGGGGCATATATCACCACCGTTATAGCCACAGATCCTGATCTTGGAGAAAATGGGCAAGTGACATATACCATTTTGGAGAGTTTTATCCTGGGAAGTTCCATAACTACATATGTAACCATTGACCCATCTAATGGAGCCATCTACGCCCTCAGAATCTTTGACCATGAGGAGGTGAGTCAGATCACTTTTGTGGTCGAAGCAAGAGATGGTGGAAGTCCAAAGCAACTTGTAAGCAATACCACAGTTGTGCTCACCATCATTGATGAAAATGACAATGTCCCTGTGGTTATAGGGCCTGCACTGCGCAACAACACTGCAGAAATCTCCATCCCCAAAGGGGCTGAAAGTGGCTTTCATGTCACAAGAATTAGGGCAATTGACAGAGACTCTGGTGTGAATGCAGAACTCAGCTGCTCCATAGTAGCAGGTAATGAGGAGAATATCTTTGTAATTGATCCACGATCATGTGACATCCATACCAACATAAGCATGGACTCTGTTCCCTACACAGAATGGGAGCTCTCAGTTGTCATCCAGGACAAAGGCAATCCTCAGCTGCATACCAAAGTCCTTCTGAAGTGTGTGATCTTTGAATATGCAGAGTCGGTGACAAGTACAGCAATGACCTCAGTAAGCCAGGCACCCTTGGATGTCTCCATGATTATAATCATTTCCTTAGGAGCAATTTGTGCAGTGTTGTTGGTTATTATGGTGCTGTTTGCAACTAGGTGTAACCGAGAAAAAAAAGACACTAGATCCTACAACTGCAGGGTAGCAGAATCGACGTACCAGCATCACCCCAAGAGACCCTCCAGGCAGATCCACAAAGGGGACATCACGTTGGTGCCTACTGTTAATGGCACCCTGCCCATCAGATCCCATCACAGGTCATCTCCGTCTTCATCGCCTACCCTAGAAAGAGGGCAGATGGGCAGCCGGCAGAGTCACAACAGTCACCAGTCCCTCAACAGTTTGGTGACCATCTCATCAAACCACGTGCCAGAGAATTTCTCATTAGAACTCACCCATGCCACCCCTGCTGTTGAGGTAAGATCACACCCTGCACCTATTCACTGACATACTCAGTTCTTAGTAGTCAGAAGTTGCCTATGCCTTAGTTCTTAAATATCTCCATTACTAAGTAACAGTACTAACAAAATGGAAATTAAATAGGATGCATGTTACATTATGTATATAAAGCAAATATACACACCTCAGCATGCTGGTCTTAAGTTGTTCATAAAGAATCTGCTTGCAAGTACTATGTGTAATGTTGAAAAGTAAATGTGAAGCTAGCAAAGGACTATCTAATTAGAGTCCCCCTATCCTCAGATTATGATACTTCAAGCCAGAAACAAAGGGGCTTGCTCTAATTCTCATAGTTATGGTCTCTAAGAAAAATTTTAAAATGGAGGCATCCAGAATCCCATACATGCATGTGTATTTGTTCAACTTTTGAAATTTTTCTGACATTATTTTGACTGCATGTGTTTTACAGCATTTTCCATGTATTTTTTACAGCATTTTCCATGTATTTTTATAACTGATCACTTTAACCTGAACAATAAAATAGAGGTAATCAGTCATTTTTAAATAAAGGAATCCTCTTTCAAAAAGAAAATGTCTGCTGTATGATAACATCTAAATCTCTCTGGGACTTATTTCAGTTCTGTTTGGTGGCTTGGCTGCATGGTCTATCAGAGTCTAGCATGTGTAGGTCTTTAAAATGAAGATAACATGTTCAATTAATTAGGAAGAAATAATGAGTAGTAACTGTAGTTGCTTGCTTAAAGCTTTTGAGTATTGGGGGATTTGTTTCCAGGAATCAATACAGTCTGTTTGGTTTCCAGCAGGTCTCCCAGCTTCTTTCAATGCTTCACCAGGGACAATATCAGCCAAGGCCAAGTTTTAGAGGAAACAAATATTCCAGGAGCTATAGGTATGAATGACCCTCCTGTTACCTATTATATCTGCAATAACCTAATGCTGAAGAGTAAAATCTATACTTTTCCTGACTTCTCTTTCTAGATATGCCCTTCAGGACATGGACAAATTTAGCTTGAAAGACAGTGGCCGTGGTGACAGTGAAGCAGGAGACAGTGATTATGATCTGGGGCGAGATTCTCCAATAGACAGGCTGCTGGGTGAAGGATTCAGTGATCTGTTTCTTACAGATGGAAGAATTCCAGCAGGTAAGAGTATGGTGACAGAGAAACCCTTCTTTTCAGGTCTTCTGCACCAGTGGAGTGCGTGGTTTCTCCCATGTTTTTATTTTTTCTGTGTACTCAAGTAGCTATATGCACACTATCAACAATGAACATAAATTGAGACAGTTTTATATTGTTTAATTAAAATCCATAGTAATCAGTTGGTAGAGAAAGGGAATAAACAGGCAAGCTTAAGAGGACAAGAAGGAAGGAGTGGGGAGAGGAGGATAGAAAACCACACCACTTCCCTCCTCTTTCTCCCCCATCCACTACTGCCATAGGGCAGTCTTGAGCAATTCTGTCAAATTACTGGGTGGTTGTTTTTTATTCAGGCAGCCTGTTTTGGTGCCTAGTGGTAAGCAGGACTATAATTTGGAGGACACATTTCCTGTGATGGGAACCAACTCACATAATCAGAGATGAAAATACACTAGGGAATGGTACACTTCAATCACTAAAAATAGGCAAAAGAATGCATCTTTGTAGGTGGCAAGCATGGAATATTTTTTGCCACCTTTCATTTTATGTCTCCACTGCAATGAAGGAGGGGCAGGAGTCCAGGAGGGGAATTTATAAGTACACAGCTAGATGGAAGAGACCCTATTAAGTTGTGAGCCACGTTTTCCTTAGAGTCCCTTCTCTCTAATCCTGCAGTAGAAACTCTCAGATCCAGCTGAGTAAATACTGACTGCCTCACTGTAGCAACCCTGTTACTAAAGACTATAATATTAAATCAACCCTTCAGAACCTATTCCTTTGGCTACTTATATTTCTAAATCCCACTGAATGTTGATCAAATATCTGCCACTTGATAAATGAATAAACGAAGTGATAAATGAAAGAAAAGGAGAACAAAATGGTATTACCTATGTGAGTCCATGAACAACTGTTTCCTAAATACAGATAAATAAGACAGTTTAGGAAATAGACCTGAGGGAGCTTCAGAGAGCCACAGAAACTCGGTGGAAATCAGTAACCAGAAACGCTAGCTCTCCTAAACTGCAGTCGTAATGGTGGCAGTAGCCGCAGCAGTGTTAATATTAATCCAGGCAGTCACAGGCACTGTTACCCAGCGCTTCCTCTGGGCTCATGAGTTCTGTGCTTGCACTGCCTCTCCCAACACTCTGGCATAGCAATTAGTGGTGGTGGTAATAACAGTAGTGTTCTTTTTTTTTTTTAAGATTTAAAAACAGAAACTTATAAAGGTTAAAAAAAAAGTATCAAAATCAAGCAATTTGTATATTTTAGAGGTGAGATTTGAACCCATGCCTCTACTCACAAACACAAATCTATCAAGAATAATATAAAGTAACAGTTTTTTTTTTTTTTTTTAGTACTTTGAGTGACATTTGTTTTGCCTTTCTAAAGTCTTACTACCTGTCTGAGAAGCAATGAAATGCTCCCTATTTAATTATGCTATTACTGTGATAGATACTGCATTTCTGACAGGATGATGTATGGGAAGGACTTCTAGTGGCATTAAGGGCTACAATCAATGTACATTGAGCTGATACTTACACAGTCACTCATGGTGGGGATTTTGTTTGCTTTTGTTAAATTCATAAATTCTCTAGACCAATTTAAAGAGAAATTCTTGAAAAATCTAGTGGAATATACATGGCCTCAGACAATTTGCTCATAGAGAAACAGTTTTGTTATTCTTACCCATGAAATGAAAAAGTTGGCTGAATTTCTATGATTCTATAATCCTGGTGGAACTCAAATTTTTAATATTGATCTCTAATTTTCAATAATATAATTTTCTGACTTAAATTATTTCATAAAATGGAAACATATCATGGGTATAATACCAATATTTCCTAAGTTACTTTTTCAGTTGTAGAAAGTTGACTCATTGACACAATTTTCTTTTCTTTTCTTTTTTAAAAAATTTTTTTTTCCATTTATTTTTATTAGTTGGAGGCTAATTACTTTACATCATTGCAGTGGTTTTTGTCATACATTGAAATGAATTAGCCATGGATTTACATGTATTCCCCATCCCGGTCCCCCCTCCCACCTCCCTCTCCACCCGATCCCTCTGGGTCTTCCCAGTGCACCAGGCCCGAGCACTTGTCTCATGCACCCAACCTGGGCTGGTGATCTGTTTCACCCTAGATAATATACATGTTTCGATGCTGTTCTCTTGAAACATCCCACCCTCGCCTTCTCCCAGAGTCCACAAGTCTGTTCTATACATCTGAGTCTCTTTTTCTGTTTTGCATATAGGGTTATCGTTACCATCTTTCTAAATTCCATATATATGTGTTAGTATACTGTAATGGTCTTTATCTTTCTGGCTTACTTCGCTCTGTATAATGGGCTCCAGTTTCATCCATCTCATTAGAACTGATTCAAATGAATTCTTTTTAATGGCTGAGTAATATTCCATGGTGTATATGTACCACAGCTTCCTCATCCATTCGTCTGCTGATGGGCATCTAGGTTGCTTCCATGTCCTGGCTATTATAAACAGTGCTGCGATGAACATTGGGGTGCACGTGTCTCTTTCAGATCTGGTTTCCTTGGTGTGTATGCCCAGAAGTGGGATTGCTGGGTCATATGGCAGTTCTATTTCCAGCTTTTTAAGAAATCTCCACACTGTTTTCCATAGTGGCTGTACTAATTTGCATTCCCACCAACAGTGTAAGAGGGTTCCCTTTTCTCCACACCCTCTCCAGCATTTATTGCTTGTAGACTTTTGGATAGCAGCCATCCTGACTGGCGTGTAATGGTACCTCATTGTGGTTTTGATTTGCATTTCTCTGATAATGAGTGATGTTGAGCATCTTTTCATGTGTTTGTTAGCCATCTGTATGTCTTCCTTGGAGAAATGTCTGTTTAGTTCTTTGGCCCATTTTTTGATTGGGTCATTTATTTTTCTGGAGTTGAGCTGGAGGAGTTGCTTGTATATTTTTGAGAGTAATCCTTTGTCTGTTGCTTCATTTGCTATTATTTTCTCCCAATCTGAGGGCTGTCTTTTCACCCTGCTTATAGTTTCCTTTGTTGTGCAAAAGCTTTTAAGTTTCATTAGGTCCCATTATTGACACAATTTTCATTTATCACTATAGTTAAAAGAATAACTGCCACTGCTTAGATAACCTTGCCAGGCCCAAATGATGCCTAAAGTCCTTTTTAACTCTGAAATTCTCTAATTCAATAGCTAATCATGGTCTAATTTTTTTTTAAAAAGGTCACAACTGCTCTTTCATTCTAGCCTGTATTTTCAAAGTTACCACCGCCAGGTATGTTCATGGCAGGAGAGTTGTCTAATGCTTGAATTAAAGTAATTAAAATAAGTGTTAAAGAATAAAGAATAATTGGGGAAATAGTAGGTGCATATTGATAAACTCTAGATACTGGAGTCTTATTTAGTGAGCGACTTTAGACTCCTCCTAAGTCACATTTCTTCTGAAAGTTAGAGGCTCATTTTTATATTACCATTAATAACACCAGTTAATATGTAGACAACTCTTTAAAAAGCAATTCCACAAAATTATACTTAATCCAGGTGTGTGGTGGAGAGCTCTTTAGCTAGGGCATGTAACTGTATTATAATAGATTGTATTACAATACATACACTTCTGCCTTATTAACTTCTTGTCTCTATGTGGGGTATTGAAGAAACTATTCTAGAGGCACAGAGAACCAGGAAATCACTGATGATCCATAAAATATCTTAAGCTTTTTGTATGTTTGGCTAGTATAGAAATGTGCATAATCAAATATCTATACTTAATTACCACCATCATTCTGATGATACATTACCCATATTCTGGATTATTCTTCACACTAGTAGTTTCTTTCAACACATTAGTGTGTAAAAGTTTTGCTTTGTAAACTTTATATTCCCAGGAAATATTCCAAGTAGAAAAAAAATGTTAAGTCCACATCTGAATGCCATTAACAGAAATCAGCACAATTTTTTTAAAGCATGGATATTTTTAGGATTTCAGTGTCTTATTCCAACTGTTTTTTCTGCATTAGACTGTGATCAAATATAGATTATGTTATGTTGCCTTGCCTGCCAACAGGGTCATTTCTGGTCATTCATTCTGTTAATTCCCACAGGGGGACACTGCATTCTGAACAGTAAAGTCAGCACACATTTTTGTCTGTTGGCTCATGTTAGTCAACATACTTTCTTCCTTACTCATTCAACTTTGAATTACAACTCTACACAAATGCTTGCAAAATATCCCTTTTCCCAAAGTGTTAGCTACACTAGGATGTCCTTGCGATACTCCTTGACTGAGCTCATTTCATTGTTTTTTATCATTGTAACATCTATGATTACTAAATTCAAACATTTCTCTTTAATTCCACGTCCTCTCCATTCTCATGGCTGGTGTCCTACTTCTGGTTGCTTTTCTGTATCAGCACATGAAGTGATATTCACTTTCCAATAGCTTCTTCCTTTGTCAACCCTTTCTTTCATACAGCTTGAACAACTTTTTCAGAACATTTTTTATTTTTTTAGTTCAAAAACAGTAATTGACTTTTGTTGCCCGGCAACACCTAATTCAGCTGTTTGTCTTGACATTTCAAGGCCAGTGAAATCCAGTCCTAGCTTATTAAATTTATTATTTTTTTTTTATCTTTTGCAATAGGCAGGGTCATTTCTACATAACACAGCAATCCTTCGCTCATGTTCACCTTTCTACCTGAAAAACTAGCTTCTTTTTACTTTGTCTATCTAAATCCTATTCATCTCTCAAAGTTTGTTTCAAGTTGCTCTTTAACTGCTTCAGCATCCACCTATACTCTATTTTTTTATTTTTATTGAAGTATAGTTGCTCTACAGTATTATATATTATAGGTATATAATACAGTGATTCACAATTTTTAAAGGTTATACTTCACTTATAGTTATTATAGAATATCGGCTATGTTCCCTGCGCTGTATATATCCTTGTAGGTTATTTATTTTATACCTAATAGTTTGTACCTCTTAATCCCTTATCCCTATCTTGCCACTCCCCTCTTCCCTCTCTTCACTGGTAACCATTGGTTCTTTCTCTCTATCTGTGAGCCTGTTTCTTTTTTGTTATATTCACCAGTTATAGCTTTTAGATTCCACATGTAAGTGACATCCTACATTTTTTTTTTTACATATTGTCTCAGCATCATATAGTTTGACACTTTAGACATCTATGACCTCATTTGTCACACTTGATAATTATTCTAGTACTGGAAACTATTTGAGGGCCGGGAGCTATAACACCATTTTACATATGGCAGGTTCTTAATAGATTGATCACTCAATGACTAATGGTTTGATCAGAGTTAGGCATATATTTATTTTCTTATACTCAATGCCTTCTTCCTGTCCTGCCTATAAGGTCTAGTACAGAGACAAAACTCACCATCATGCTGTGAGAAAACAGAGTTTTCTGTTTCCCCATGGCCCCCTCCTCAGAGAAAGTTTAATCACCTGACAAGAGCTTTCAAGGAACAAAGGGAGATTAGCCACTTGTACCACTAGCCAACAAGTCCTGCTTCATTGGATATGGTGTAGAACATCTGTGACACGAAGCTGTATGTACACTGAGAATGATTTCGCACAGTTGAGTCTTGGGGTAAAGGTTGAAATATCAATGAAAAAAGAAATGCCCTCTTCTGTGCCACTGTTCCTCCGTCTCTGTTATTTTAGCCCTCCTTATCTCCATTAATCTTTATTCATTAATTTTTCATATTTTTGAGTTTTAAAAGTTTATGTTAATTTATTATTTTATAACTAAAGCCCAATTTATTTATTGTGAAGTTATAAAATAGCATTTCCTGCCTAAAAATCCCTATGACCAAATTTATTTTTCATATGAACTGTTGTTTTAATTACTCAGATGCTATTGTTTGTGATTTTCATTACATTCAGTTCTCTAGAAAGCTGATCATGCTCAGGATTCTTAGAAGCTTGTGTAATTTTTCCTTTTCTCCCCCATCATTAAACATTAAAACAAAACAAGTTCAATCAAACAATTAAGACCTTCCCACAGAATTAAAGGCCAGAAAACAACTGAAGAGCTGTCATTAGGTCTGTTATTCTTCCTTCTAAAAGGATGTAAGACAATACAGACAGGTCTCCTTTCCACTTTCAGAGACTCAAGGAATTAAGGAAAAAATTAATTACCATTTGACAGTTATTTCAGTGCTTAGAAAACCTCATTGCTATGGAGGTATTCCAGTTACTTTCAACACCTTTTGATTTTGTCCATGTATGATAAACAACAATAGTTGATAAATATCCCCAAATAATAATAATGCTTGAAGTCAGCACATCTAAATATTTTTTATTCTTGCTGATTTAAATGTCACTTTTCTTCATAGCAAAATGACACAAGGATTCTCACTATTGCTCTCACCCCATTGTGAGATTGGCATTCACACTATCCATCATTTTCCGTACTTTGAATTTCTAGCCTTCCTATCAGACATTTTTTCTCACAGTTCTTGCTCTCATTTTTGTTCTTCAGCTGACTTCTTCTCTATTATTAAGAACTGAGGCCCAGAATGGATGAGGTATAAGAACAGAATTATCTTCGAGATGCACATGATGAAGAGCAGTGACTTCCACACCTTTGAACAAAGTCCTTTACATCTCCTTTTCTGAAAGGCGACATTTACTCTTCACTTTCTTGTGCATAAATCTTTTCCAAAATTTTATCTTATTGTATAAGAACACTTAATGTGGGATCTACTCTATTAACAAAATTTTAGCTGTGTGAGATTGTTTACGGTAGGTACAGTGTTCTACAGCACATCTCTTGAACTTAATCTTGCTTAATTGAAAATTTATGTCTGTTAATTAGCAATTTCCCTGTCTGCCTGATGCTTGTTAACCACCATTTCATTCCTGGATTCTCTGAATTGGACTATTTTAGATGCCTCAAATACAGGGAATCATGCAGTATGTGTTTCCCTGTGACTAGCTTATTTCACAAAGCTTAATGTCCTCAAGGTTCATCCACATCAGCACATTTTAGAGAGTTTCTTTCATGTTTAAGGCTGAAAAATATTCCATTGTATGCATATACTACATTTTCTTTATCCATTCAACAGTTGATAGACATTTAGGTTGTTTTCACATCTTGGTTATTGTGAGTAGTGCTTTCATAAACAGGGGGAGTGCTGTATCTCTTTGAGATCTTGATTTCAATTCTTATGGGTAAATCCGAAAGATGGGATTGCTGGATCATATGGTGGTTCTTTCTTAATTTTTTGAGTAACCTCCATATTATTTTCCATAGTACCTGCAACCACTTTACATTCCCAACACCAGTGTACAAAGGTCCAATTTTCCACACTCCCCTCACATGTTATCCTTTGGGTTTTTGTGTTCATGTTTTATTACATTCATTCTGATAGGTTGGAGGTGATTTCTCATCGTGTGTTTTGATTTGCATTTCCCTGATGATTAGAAAATATGCAGCGAATGCCTAGTCTATGCAGACACTTCAGACACTTCACCTAGTGCTGGGGATACAGCAAAAAGCACACTTGACAACTTGCTTCCCCTGACAGGGGATTTGGCATTGTTCAAGAGTCATCCTTTTTAGCAATAATTTGGAAGAGAAATCATTCTCAAGCAGCCAAATCTACAGAATTACCTCTGAATGTATAAGTATGGCTGATATCAATCCAGTTTTAATTCAAATCTAAGATAATTAGTTTGCATTTTCTGCATTCTGTCATTTGAGCTAAAATGAAATCATGATATTGAAAGGACCTAACAATCACTGAAAGAGATGGATGGTTTGTGGAGTGTATTTTAGATCTTCACATTTCTTGGTAGTTATGTAGTTAATATACTTGCCAAATTTGGAGATTTTTTTTCCCCTCTTCTTCATTTTTCTGGTTTTCTCATATCACTGATTATTTTCTGAGTGTAGCTACTCACATTCCAATGGGGCATCATAACATCTGGAATAACTAACCAGTGTTTGTTTTTGTTTTTGTTTTTCATAGTCTTCATCTTTTGATAACTTTTCCAACTGTTTGAATTTCAAACCTCTACAAGATTTCTTCTTAACAGAGTAACTGCAAGTGGCTGATAGTTGAGGATAATTTGCACTACTGTTTTAAGTAACAAGTCAATAAATAATCCAGTATATTTTTATGAGAGATTGATACATATAATTACTTACTAGTTTATTATATTCTCAGTGCCTCCACTAAAGTAGGTCAGATAGATTACATTATAGAAAGTACTCAAAGATGTTACTCAAGGCTTATCTGGTAGCATTCTAAAGTTATGGATTTCACCGTACACCTCTGGGTTTTCATAGAGTTTATGTTCAGCAGACATTTCATCACTCACACCTTAGTTCTCTTCCAGACATTTTCATTCGTAAGTTATCCATCCATTTTCTTATTGCTTGAGGAGCAGATGATATTCCTGAGAAGTACATGAGTCATAATCCTCCCTTCTTATTTGATGGACAAGAAAAAGTATATATACCAGGTCCAGGAGACCTGGGTTTGATCCCTGGATTGGGCAGATCCCCTGGAGAAAGGAAAGGCTACCCACTCCAGTATTCTGGCCTGGAGAATTCCATGGACTGTATAGTCCATGGGGTCACAAAGGGTCGGACACGACTGAGAGACTTTCACACACACACCAGGTCCATAAAATCAGTAGCCAAATTAAAGTCGTAATTATAGTCCATCTAATGTGTAAAGTAATAGATTAGTATCATGATGATGGTTTAAAATTGTGTGTTTGAAAAAATAAAATTACGATTTTTTCTCTTTTGTTTGAGTCACGCGACATGTAACACTGAATCCTTGTTGCTTTTGTTGGTTTCCTTGAGAACAGCTATGAGGCTATGCACGGAAGAATGCAGGGTCCTGGGACACTCCGACCAGTGCTGGATGCCGCCGCTGCCCTCACCCTCCTCGGATTACAGAAGCAACATGTTCATCCCCGGGGAGGAGTTCCCAGCACAGCCCCAGCAGCAGCATCCGCATCAGAGTCTCGAGGATGACGTGCAGCCTGTGGACTCTGGCGAGAAGAAGAAGAGTTTTTCCACGTTCGGGAAGGACTCCCCGAGTGAGGAGGACTCTGGGGACACCAGCACGTCCTCTCTGCTGTCGGAGATGAGCAGCGTGTTCCAGCGCCTCTTGCCCCCTTCTCTGGACGCCTATTCTGAGTGCAGTGAGATGGACCGGTCCAACTCGCTGGAACGCCGGAAGGGACCTTTGCCGGCCAAGACTGTGGGTTACCCCCAGGGGGTGGCGGCCTGGGCAGCCAGTACGCATTTTCAAAACCCGACCAACAACTCTGGGCCCCCACTTGGAACTCACTCCAGTGTGCAGCCTTCTTCGAAATGGCTGCCGGCCATGGAGGAGATCCCTGAGAATTACGAGGAGGATGATTTTGACAATGTGCTTAACCACCTCAATGACGGCAAACACGAACTCATGGATGCCAGTGAGCTAGTGGCTGAGATTAACAAACTGCTTCAGGATGTCCGCCAGAGCTAGGAGATGTTGGCAGAGCATTTTTGTTTCCATGTAGATGGAAATAGGAGACAGCAAAAACCCTGAAGGAACTGGCATTGCCAAATAGTTGCATTTATCATAAATGTGTCTGTGTATATTGAATATTAAATACTGTATTTTCGTATGTACACAATGCAAGTGTGATTATTTTAATCTGTATTTTAAAAATACATTTGTACCTTATATTTATGTGTAATTTAACAGACAAATTTTATTTTTTTACTCCCATGACAAACATGTCTTTCCTAATCATGTAGAAACTAGCCACTGTTCAAATCTGATATAATATTCAACCACAAAGAATAAACGCACTGCTTAGATTAGTTATGTTGGGGAAGAAATGGTTATCCTGTAGGAATAACCCCACTAAAGCATTATTCAATTCTTAGTTCCATTAAGTGATTCAGCTTTTTTCATTACCTTTTTTTTTTTGAAAAAGTAAACATCAGTAAACTGTTTAACTATTTTATTATTGTTGTTATTGTTTTTACTGCTCTCTGCTAGTTCTAATAGTTCAATTCTTACAGTAAAACTGAAACATGAAGTGAAATTTTATTTCAGGACTGGGAAGTATCTGTCACAGAAGATGATTTAAAGAAATAGGAGTAGAATCAGCTTTTAGCTCCCAGGCTCCTACTATTGCAGGGCATCACACTGGCCTGTTCTTGAGAATACTTCTAAAGTATTATCTACTTATAATCAAGGTAAACAATGAATTTTATTCCATCCTTGTAATATGAGAGGTGTCCCAAGGAAATAGAATCTTGTCCTTTAAATGGATAACTGTATTTTAACAGCATAAAGTATTAATGGACAAAGACAATTATGTCCGTGTCCTTCCTAGGGTAATAAATATGATTGATTTATCCTGAAACTCTTCCATTCAAATCTTCCCCTCTCCTCTCACAATACTTGAACATTTTTATTTTTTGCAATGTTTTTTTTTGCTATAACTCTTCACTCTTAGCTTTTGTCTCTAGAGCATGATCTCATATTTTTGCTTTTATTTTTAGTATAGGAACATTTATAAAATTACAGTTTTTTACTGCAGCTCTGTTTTAGTTGTTATGTGACAAACGGCAAGTTCTTTATTTATTGTGCTGTTACGTCTCTGTGTGGAATGCCTTGGTAAGGGACGTTGGTGTTATGACTGTTCTCGTTTATGACCAAGCTTCTATTAATGTTATTTCTATGAATACACTATCTTGATTGTAGTATCCAGAAAATTTTACTGTCAATGAAAATAAAAGGAAAATTAAAGTAAAGCTAAAGAACCGTCCATAAATCAGAGTCCTGTTCCTACATATACATTCAAAAACTTTGCAAGAAGCATACCCTTCATAAGAGGGTATTTCAGTGTTGGGTTTTGAATAGTAGAGTGGGAACATTCAATTGGCTTGGCAAACAAGAAAAACCACAATGGAAAAGGAATGAATTTGAGATCTGTAATGGGAATGAAAGTAGTCTACCATATTTCCAGTCGATTAAAAAATTTAAATGCATTTGAAGTATAAAGAAAAAAACAATAATCAATAGTAACTGCTTGAACATTTTTCAAATTATTTCTCAAAGCATACTGTGTAACACTGTGTCAGGGAAAAAGGTCTATACCCTTACAGTGTTTCCAAGAGGTGAAAATTTTATCTCCCTTGGTTAACTAGTAGGGAAATGAAAGACTGGAAAAGTTAAATAACCTCAAAATGGCAATGGCTGAAACTCAGGTATTTAAATTCTCAAATGAGTACCACATCAAATAGATATGTTATATCTTTCAAAAGACACATCTTCCTTTGTAGAAAGGATTACAATTACAAATGAAATTTCAGTTTATTTTTCAGCAGGTTATATATATAAATGCTAACCACACTGAAATACATTTTGCTTTTCAACTTCACTTCCTTTCAGTACATATTATCATTAAGAAAAAGACTTTTATAACTTCACTGTTCTTAATTTAAATCATCAACAGTAATTTAAGAAGCAAAGCTGGAAATCAATGTTTGGATGATGTAAAATAAATAAAATGCACTATTGTATTAAATAGAAGACCTCTGTCTATTGTCTATACAGTGAGTATTTCATCTCAAATTCCTTGCTTCTCCAGCCTCCCACACTTCTTACTACTTCCCACGCCACAGGTTAAGGATATTAGTGCGAAATTTTCACTTTTCACAGTAATTTCTCAGTGAAGGCTGGAGTGTCTGTTGCATCATAGCAACTTAGCTCATCAAATTTATATTCCCTCTCTTTTGATATCATGCCCTTCCTCTATTTGAAACAACTAAAAAAACACTTAAGGAGATTCCTTTTTCCATTCCTTACTGGATTTCACCTTACTTGATTCCTTTAAATGTTGACTTTACTCGATTCAATGTTCTTCAATCATAATCATTCATCAAGGGAATTTTCTTCCAAAAGTGTAATTTGACAATCTGTTCCTTTTTAAATGCTTATTTATAGGGTGATCAGACAAATCTTCCTTTTAAATGCTTGTTTATAGGGTGATTAACAAATCTTTCTTTTAATAAAATGCCTATTTATAGGGTGGATTAGTACTGACTTTCATCAAATTCTTACAAGTTATTAAAATGGTTATTCATTTATCATTTTATTTCTTTCTTGGTACTTAGCAGATGGGGCTTATAACTTTGTTAATCATTTAAATTCTTGTTCATTCCATCACATATCAAATTTACCACTTACCAATAGATAACAGTTAAGGTAAAAGATGAGTAAGTTACCATCTCTGGAGTCACCAAAGAAGTGTTATTTATGAAAATCAGCTTAGCTTCTTTGTTTCCTCCATTTGATACCAGCTAACATCAGAAAATGTTCAAAACTGAGTTTGAATTACTGACACATTAAAATTCAGGGAAAAGTAGATCTATGTGAAATTTAGTTCTGTGGGTGAAAAATGGATTGCCTGACATAGCAACTTGCAATCCTGCTGGAGCTCACAGAACTGATCCAAAACAATTCAGTCAATTTGCCAAATTACTGAAAAGTTTTGATGTTTCTGTTCCAATTCAATATATCTTGATAACATATCATCAGAGTATTGAAGATTAAGGATACACTGAATAGGCGATAAATATCACCATGTAAAATTAAAGCCAAACCATGCGAAAGTCTTAAAGATTTGTGTTGAATTTTTGAAGGGAAAAAACAGTGCAAGAACTTTTCTTTTAAAAATGCCTGTATATTGACTTCCTTCATTGCAAGTTAAATTGATAAAAAAAAAGCTATCTTATATTTCCAAGCTGTCTTATATATTGTGAAAGTGTAAGGTGCCAAACTGACTGTGATCATTTTTAATATAGTAAGTGAAGTGTTTATAGCTCAGTCATGTCTCTTTAAGATCCCATGTACTGTATGCCAGGATCCTTTGTCCATGGGATTCTCCAGGCAAGAATGCTGGAGTTGGGTGCCATTTCCTTCTCCAGGGGATCTTCCCAACCCAGGGATCAAACCTGCATAGGCAGGAAGATTCTTTACCACTGAGCCACCAGGGAAGCCCTTTTACTATATTAGGATGTCTCTAACATGTGAATGTGGAAATAATCCTATGTGGCTACATAATATTTTACTAAATTAGGACCACTGAAGAGTCACCTTACTCTGTTCAGTTTTTAGAACAAGCAGTAAGTTACTTTTTGGAAATAACTGAATGATACCTGAAGTATTACATTGCAATTGAAAAAAAAAAAAAAGTGCCCAAATTGTGGTTTCATTCTTCATCTGTGTAACTGTAGTCATACAGTCAAGTATATATATTGTGTACCAGAAATAATAAGATCTTTAATGTAATGTAAACCAAAAAAATGATTAACAGGTAGGCAGCATACAATAGATCTGAAAGCGATAGTCTATACTTCTCATTAATTTGTATTTTTATTATAAGATAGCTTATACAACTTGTGGAGCTGTTAAAATAATTTTATGGGGTGCTGACATTGCAAAAATTGCCACCAAAATTTACATACTTCCTGACTTTTAAAACCACAAAACACATTCTACCCTGGCACTTTAAAATAATAGTTTTCTATTTCCTTTTATGACTTCTGCAAGTTGCTCTTTATTCTTGTTTGCTTTTTCAGATTTTATCTCTTCAATTTATTTATTTTATGCTTCTCCTCCTTGATAATTTATCCTACTGTCCACATTTTATAGCAATCTTCTCCAATTTTTGCATGTATATAGTTCTTTATATAACCACCCAGATTTTATCAATTTTTTATGTCATTTCTTTGTTATTGATATAATAGGGATCATATTTTTGAGGTATGAAGGTAATACCTTTTCATTCTCAATAAACTTTGCTCCTCTGATTCACTAGTTTAATGGAAGGGTAAATTCATATGATTAAGCACAAAGGGGTCATTTTATTTGCTCTGTGTTTTAAATTAAAAGTTTTTGAGTGCTTACAGACATACTAGTGTAGAAAACTTTACTTTTATTGAGGGAGGAAGTATTTTTTTCCTAAATATGAAACGCTTCTCTTTATGTACTGAGGGTTAGTCTGGGAAAGGTAAGTTTGGAGTTTTACTAAGTTAAGTGCAAGAAAATGAATATTAAGTAAGAAAGGTCCAAATTGTTGAGAGCATAAAGCCCTAGAGGTGAATAAACTGAGAAGGGTAAAATATCAGATGTTTGTGTCTTTATTCCCACCCGCAGTGATCTTTAGAAAAAACTGTACAACAAAGCAGTACCTTTGGGTCCTGTTTGGGGAAGGTATTTTCCCTTTCCCTGACCCACCCTGTGCAGGAGTGCAGACTCTGAAGGAAGAGGTGTAAGTGTGCCTCTGGGCATCCTTTCTCCTCCTTACTGCCTCTGGATGAACTATAGGAGATTCAGACTTTCTTTCTTATCCAAAATGGGGAAGCAGCTGATGTTATAAACTGTATCTACCTCTTAAAGTACTTTTATCTAAATGAAGGAAACTGTTCTAAAATCCTCAGGTGCATTCTTGTTTTATTAAATGGTACATTCTGCAGTTTAAAATAGCTAACCACAAAATATTCTAGGCAGAAAAAGCACAGATTTTCTCTCTGGAAGAAGAGCTTTGTGTTAGGTTCCAAATCATCTATACAACTTGCAATAAATCTTATTCAATCCAAAAGTGGCATTAAGAATGTTTCAAAAATTCTCACCAGAAAAATATTTTCTAATTTCTGCCTTAGGGATCTATATCTCTTCTGCAAACCTATGCCTGGTGGCTGTCAGTGTGGATTTAGTGAACTTCTGCTAGACATTTTAGTAATTGCCAAAAATGTAGAGTGCCAAATATATGACAAGGCTACATGGCAATGAGCAAAGTACCAAAAATCTACAAAGTCCCAACAACAACAACTGACTCATTCCCTCACTGCTTTTCCTCTCTTCCCTTTCTCCTTATTTTCTCCTTGGGTGGCATCTGACTATACAGGCAGTATGTAAACCATTCTTTAATTCAACAAATGTTTGTTGCGCACTTCACATCAGATACCGATCCAGATATTTGTTGAACAAAACAGACAACAAAGACATGAAAATCACTACACACCTATTAGAGTGGCCAAAATCTGGAACACTGATAATACTAAATGTTGACACAGAGGTGGAGCTACAGAAATTCTCATGCATTGCTGATGAGAATGCAAAGTGGCACTTTGCAAGAGAATATGGAGTTTCTTACAAAACTAAACATACTCTTACCACAGTGTGTTAGTCACTCAGTTGTGCCCAACTCTTATGCGACCCCATAGACTGCAGCCCACCAGGCTCCTATGTCCATGGAATTCTCCAGGGAATACTAGAGTGTATAGCTATTCCCTTCTCCAGGATATCTTCCCAACCTAGGGACCAAACCCAGGTCTCTGAACTGCAGGCAGAGTCTTACTGCCTGCGCCACCAGGGAAGCCCAGCTGCCAGGGACGCCCACGATCTAGCAATTGTGCTCCTCGGTATTTACTCAAAGAAGCTGAAAACTTACGTCCACACAAAAGCCTACACCCAGATGTTTATGGATGTGTTTTATAATTGCCAAAACTTAGAAGCAACCAAAATGCCCCTCAGTATGTGAACATAAAAATAAACTATGGTGCATCCAGGAAATGGAATATTATTCAGTGCTAGAAAGAAATGAGATACTAAGTCATGAAACGACATGGAGGATCCTTAAATGTGTATTGTTAAGTGAAAGAAGACAATCTGAAAAGGCCACATACTGCATGACTCCTAACTATATGACATTCTGAAAAAGACAAATCTATGAAGACAGTGAACAGTCAGTGGTTGCCAGAGGTCTAGTAGCAGAAATGAATAAGTAGAACACAGAGAATTTTTAGGCAGTAAAAATACTCTGTATAATACTATAAAGATGGATCTATGTCATTATACATTTTTCCAAACCCACAGAATGTACAATACCAAGAGTGATGCGTAATGTAAACCTTGGACTTTGGGTGATTATAGTATGTTCATCAATTGTTACAGATGTACCATCTGAGGGATGGTGTTAATGGGGGAGTTTCTACATGTGTGGGTTCACAGGGTGTACAGAAAATCTCTGTACCTTCCTCTAAGTTGTGCTGTTGACCTGAAACTGGTCTAAACTAACAAAGTCTATAAAGGCGTGGGGTGAAGTGTTGTAAATGGCAAAGCCAACAGACAGAAAGCCCCAGACTGGAACTGTCATGACAGAACAGACCATGCACAACACCAGAGCAGACAGACACTTCACATCAGGTGTAATTTTCAACAGGACAGAGAACTGAATAGAGGCCCTGCGTTGTTAACCAACACACCTCCAGCCCCCAAACAGCAGCTGGTCTCTGATATAGTCTCAACAAATATTTAGGGAATGCAAGGATGACTGTATGCTTCTCTTTGAACCTGAATGCTACTCAGAGAGAAGGACTGAAAAAATATTATTACCATTAAATATTCAGTTATGACCCAAGCATGCTTAAGTTTTAAGCCTCAAGAAACTAAGATAGCAGTAATAAAATAAAATTCAATGTTTTCTCTTAACAGCATGAATTGGAAATCAAGAAAAACTGA